CTGTCTCCCACTCCCCCCAACACCCTACTTACTGGCATGGAGTCTGGCTCCAGCTCCCTGTGGCGGCGAGTGGGGACTGCCCGAATCTCCAAAACTCTCCAGATCATTTCTGAATCAACTTGGAGAGCTTTGAATCGCTTTGGACCTTTTTATTAGTCTCCTGATTTGATTCAGAGATTTGGCCGCTGAATCGGGCTAAATCTCCTCTGAATCGAATCAGCACCCAAAACTTCGCACAGCCCTACTGATCAGCACGTAAAAATATATTTGTTATGGTGCCCTCCTTTGCACTTGCTTTTATTTATGTGGAATGACTGGCTCAATGTAAAATAATACTAACAAAGCAGACCAGTAAGAAATTATGAGATCATATGTCAAAAGTCTTGGAAAAATTATGCTTATGGTAGGTCAGTGAGGATTTCCAGTGCATGTTTCAACTTCAAGTAATGGCATAGCGAATCTCAATTCTTAAGTCTTACAACAGCAGGGAAGTCTTCCACTGCCTTCCACCAAAAGCAAAACATATAGTATTTGGCAAAATGTTACAATTTACACACCATAGTTTTGGTAAACATCAAAAATTACATGTTATGTTTTATAACGTTGTCATAAACAAACACAAATTGAATAAATAAACTAAAATTAAAAAAAGATTTGAAACTGGACGATACACTGTGACGCTCCACCCACCCCACCTGTCTCAGAGTTTCCCAACCACCAGTGCCGACATGTGTGACTCCCAGGACTCGGTGGGGAGCTGTGTGCTGCTGGGGGCTCCATCTGCCGCAGGCCATGAGAGCCCCAAAAGGCCGCCACCGCTTCCTCTGCTTTCCCCCCACCTCCACTTGCTGCTGCTTCCCCAGCCTTCTCCCCTACTCAGTGCTGCTTCCCCTCCCTACCTGATGCCCTGAGCGCTGCTGCAGGGACAGGAGAAGGAGGAGCTACTGGAGGATGAGGTGGGGAGTTGAGCAGCAGCAGCCTTGCCAGAAAGCTGTGCAAGGGCGAAGGTGGGAGTGCAGTGCACGTTGTCCTGGGCAGGAGTAGGCAGAGTTTGGCCCCATGCAGAGTGCAGCAGGGGCAGCTGTGGCCAGGCTGGATACAGTTAATTGGTGGGCACCCACCTGTGGGCCAGATTCAATTTAGCTGGTGGGCTGGATCTGACCCGTGGACCATATTTTGCCCACCCCTGCCTTACACTCCAGCATCCCAAACTGAGAGTTTAAGCTTGGTTGGGATGATCTAGTTGGGGAAGGTGCTGCTTTGAGCACAGGGTTGGACTAGATGACTTCCTGAGGTCCCTTCCAACCCTTATTTTCTATGATTCTAAGCTGTGCAGGCTCTCCTGCTGTCCGAGACAAAACTATTTGCTGGCTTCAGGCAGTGTTAGGTTTATGGGTACTGGTCCTATCTGGAATTTTACAGGCTATTAAAATGGGAATGTCTTTAAAATGAAGTAAGCTATCTGCAGCATATAAATGCAGCCAGAAGCAAAAGCATTTATTTGGTTAAAATTGATTTCCAGATGAAGAAAAGTGTGTTAAGTGACAAAGTTATGCAAAAGGTTATGCATTTTGCATATGGTAAATGTGTATATTTTTGCTTGCCTAAAACTTACACTAGTTGGTTGCAAACTTTGTTCAGACCAAGCTGCGTATAAAACTTCAGCATTGGACACAATTTAATGGCCAAGTTTAAATTCCAAAAATAGGTGCTTACTTTGGAAATCCTGAGGAGTACTTAATTATAATGGTGCTAAAGTAAACACTCCTAATTTAAGGCCCTGCATAAACTCTGAAAATGCCCTTAAAAACTTTATGTAAAAGGTATGTTTTATAAAATATGGATTACTTCCCTTTAGGCCCAGTTGTGCTAAATTTTTATTAAAGTGTGTTTCCTGAAGAGGTATTATATAGTGATTCTGGCCAGCCAAACCATGTTTAAACAATTCTGTCCTGAAGGAAACATGGTTTAGGACATAATGTGCATGGGGCCTTAAAACTTTCTGTTAGAAGGCTACAGAGGCAATTAGCTTTACAGCTGCATCTGTAAGTTTTTGCAGACGGGGCAGAACTGCTCATTCCTGCCTTTCAGCCATATGCAAAAAGATGCTAGTCAGAAACTAGAGATGGCTGGAGGAGATCAATAATAGGGAGGTAAAAACCACCAGGGAAACTAAATTACCATGGCAATTAGTTACCATATAGTTGTGTGTCCTTTGCTTTTTTGGGGGGCGGGTTCTTCCTTCCTATCTCTTGATCAGTCATCTGCAAGACGGAAGGGTCCTAAGTTTGAAGATTCCTGGGATTTTGATCAAGAGAGGCATTGTTAACCGGGAAACCGGTATAGCCGAAATATCTGACTAGCAGGTACCGGAAGCTAGGGCAGAAAAGGCCCGTGAAAGGGGAGGATAAGGAGCTGACATTCTGAAGCTGCAGAAGAGTGCTGCTAGCATCAACTGTTGCTAGAAAGCAGTTTCATTTACAAGGCCTCATCCAGTACAGGTGATGTAGTGTGAACACAAAATCATGTGGAATTAAACTACAAAAAGGACCAAAGAAAAGGAAGCTCTTGGCACTGGTCAAAGAGTAAATACAGGAGGTGATATAAGTCTCTTCCTTTCTCAGCTGAAATGAGCCAAAGCCCAGGTTAGAACCTCAGGAACTTTGCCCTTGTTTAATAAAAGCAAAGTTTGCCCCCATCACCTCAAGAGCCTGATCCTGAGATGTACTGATCATACATCACTCCCGTGGATGTTGGGTTTTTGTGTTGTTTTTTTTACTACGCAGGAATATGCAGATGCCAAACATTTCAGTCATCACTTGATAAGAGCAGAAAGGGAATAGGGACGTTAACTGTGTATCTGTGGAAATTGGTGTAGGCTCTTGAATGAAAAAGATGCATGTTTGTGTGATGGAGGTCTAGGTTTTGAAGCAGCTGATACAGGATAGTGAAGCAGGACAGCTGGTAACAGAAATCCATGATTAAATTCAAACGAGCAAACAAATAACTCCTTGCCACAAACTCCAAAGGTCATGAATTCAGAGCATTTCAGCGTAGCCCGACAAAGACCAATTTGGCATTCTTCTACGACACTGTAGATTTTTGTTTGAAAAAGCTTACCTATTAAGAACATCGAAGCTAGGTGCAGACGTTGAAAAAGCCCAAGGTGGACTCGATCTAAGTCATGCAGTTTTCTGTAAGCGGCGTAGGGTAGATGAGTAGCAAACTGAACTCATGTCTGTCCTTTGGTGGCGGGGGAAAATCCTAGACAGGGGCCGCCATTTTTAAACCATACTGTGTGTGCTGAACTTCAGTTCCCTTACAGGCATAGACTGGTTTTGTGTGCCGAACTTCTGTCCTGTTACGGGTATTAAATCAGTTTCCGATCGCTTGTACCAGGAGGAGTGTGATGTCTGTACCCGGCCCGCAGGTTTATTTCTGGATGCTATGGCAGAGAAATAATCATCTGATTAACTTTGGGCAGGACTTCTGCTATGGTAGTATTTCCTGAGTCCAGTGCCACGTGAAAGGTACTGCTGTACATCGGGATCGGAGCTAGTTGGCTGTAAGAGGTCTGATTATACAGAGAAATTCTGGTCAGGCAGTTGAGGTAAATCTTGGCTATCTGGTGTGACAGAAAGGGGGGCTCAAAACTGGAAGGAAAAAATGTTAGCTTAGAGACCTAGGCTCTTGGGATATTGTGGACTAATACAAATGAATCTGATCCTTTATTTTTAACTACCGCTATTTGATTCTTCCATTATATTCTGAAATGAAGTGCATCTGAAAACTTCAGGTAATGAAGTAACGTCACGAGGAGTCTACCGCAGGTTTTGTTGATTAAGTTTGTTTTATAATTGAAGGGAAAAGGTTCCCAGGTATGCTTGCAGGGAAGTAGTCAGTACTTAATGATTGTTGCTGGGGTTTAGGCTCCTAATGCCTCCTGTTACTACAGAAATCTCCCTCTTCTAAGGTATTTTACTGGAAGGTGTCTTAACAAAAACACTTGGCAGGCAAAACGACATATTTGTAGCTAAAGATCTAAAGGGCTGCTGTTGTGATTTACACTCAGATATATTGTAAGATGACATGTCAAGGATCCTAAGTGTTCTGTGATTTCTTCAAACTTGTGACAAACTCTTATGGCCATTTTGAATTTATTGCACACTTTTTTTATTTATTTATTTAATTCTTTAGTTGGTGCCCCTGCTAGCTGCTGGAGTTTGACTCTTACTTGCTAAACATTACTTAGGCAAGGAACTTTATATGTGTGTTGAGCTTCTGGAGGAGGTCAAATGCAGGGCAGCCAGTCATTTTATGCTGTCTAGCCCTGTCAAATTGTCTTACATGACTGTAATACTGCCTTGGTTGCATAATAAGAAAGCTGAAAAGATATAAATGTCAAGATAGCCAAGTTCCCACGGAAGACTGGTTTAGAACTGGAGCTTATATTAAAGCTCATGTTACTCACTGGCCTAATTAAACCAGACAAGCCTTTATACCTGCCAAATGTATAAATAAAGTCTATGACTGCATTGTGCTGATGCAGCCCGTTGATAACCGTGATGTCTTGTCAGGTGTTTACTTCTCAAAAGGGCTTGGTTTGGGTGGGGGGGGATAGCGCTACTCGAAAGTGGAGAATGTTTAAATAGCAACAAATTATAAAGCCATGTGAAATTTGCTTTTCAGCCTGAAAGAATGATTTATTTACAGTATTAAACGGTACAGAACTCACATCTCATCAATGTAACCGTCACCTTGCATGCTTCTCAACTGAATAAATCACACTTCAGCAGTAGCTGACATTTGCATTGTTTTCTTGCAAAAGTCTATTCTCATTTGCACTGCTTGATAGACCCAAGTTAATGCACTTGCCTTCTTTTGATCATTCCCCATACTCTCTTCTTTTTTTTTTTTTATTTAAGACAGCATTTTATTGAAGTATTTAGAGGTAAATGGACTTGGCAGACAGTAAGTTTAATATTCATTTTTATATTTAGGAAGAATCCCAGACACTTCAGAAAATGAGTTGAAATCCAAGTGGGAAAAACTGCTGGGACCTGATTATGAAGTCATGGTATGTTATCCTTCAGTAAAGTATACTCATGTATGTTGTTTCTTTAATTTAAAGTGCTGTGAGCTTAACGTTACAAGCTGTTTATAGAAATGCTTAATGATCGGAACAGATCAGTTGTGTAGATTTTTCCTCCCAGAACATCAAGGATAAAATACAGGGATGTAATACGTAACAGTTAATGTTTGTTCAATTTATACAGACACTATCATTTTAAGCATGAGTAGCATTTAAAAGCCCCTGCCCCCCAACAATTTTGCCTTTAAAGTTGCATCCTATCAGTCACTGAAAATATCTGACATTTTTATGACTGCTTTTTATGATCTGTTTGTTTTACTGTAAAACTTGGGGAAAAAAAACCAGCTCGGGATATTACTACTGTGTTTCACAACGAATATTACAGTTTTATTAGAAGAATGAAAGAATGGTTATCAAATATATTGGCAAGACAAGGCAGTAATTCAACTTTGGTGTAACTTTATGGTGCCAACTGCTTGTTAGCTTTTTCTTCATATATTACAGAATAATCAGGCAAGAGTTTGTTTATATTTCTGAAGATGAATCAACACAAAGGAAATAATGGTAGTATTCAGTACTGTTTTTAAGGCAGTGCTAATTGAATAAAACAGACAAACCAGCATCCTTTCTATTTCTTTAAAGACCTGTTTATCCCTGCAATACATGTCCACTTGATTCAGACACCTTTTTTTTTTTTTTTTTACTGCTTGGCATAGATCTGTTGCTGGAGGATTTAAAATAGCATTAAGAAGTAACTTGAGCAGCACCCTCCTTTGCAATCCATTAGTACTTCTTTAAGATATGAAGTCTGTGAAAGATTGAGCTATAATTCAACACAGCTCTGCAGTTGCCCATTCTAAGAGCTAGGTATCCCCGTGCCGGCACAGCCAAAGCCTACTTTATTAACACTATCCTATTTGCTGTTGTAGGTATGGGATGTGAAGCTCACTGGGCTGTATTCTAAATTATTCTTTCACTGCAGCCAGTTTGTTTTCATGGGTGAATATTTGGTACATTTAAACAGCAGAAAGCAGTGGCCAGAACAGTACTTTTTAAAAATGAATGCCCTATGTCTATGCTTCTGCAACATCATGCTTTACTAGAATATGCAGTTTGGTATGTGGCTGATAGTACAAACCTCTGACTTTCCTAGGGTGTGTGGACAGAGGTAACATTTATTTGAAATGTTTTAAACGGCTTTGAGACATTTCAGAAGGCTACTGTGTAGACATATGGATGAGATAAAACACTTCCAAGTGTGACAAAAAATGCCTACAGAGAGCAGGTACTATTTTGTACCACTTTGTCCCTCCTTATGTCTTTGTAGGTCCATTGGTCCTTCAGCATACCACAGTGCAGTGTTCTTCCCATGGTCTCCTAGCACTTTGGTTGCTGTCTCCTTCCTACATTTCCCTGTGTGCTGGCCAGGCCTGTTACACTTGCAGACTTTCCAAGTGTTGCATCTATTTTGACCCTTAGTTACTGTTTCCATTTGCAGCTCCATTGAATTTAGTGAGATTACTAAGTGTGACTACAAGTTTGAAAGATGGATCCCTTTTTGATTATTTTCATTAGTCACCAAATCCATATATGAGGAATGGGTTACAGAGCACAGGATTCAGGTTCAGCCCCTGCCTGTGTCCTTTTGACAGCTTGCAGTGATAACTCTAAGTCACTACTAGATAAAACCCTTTTGCAAGAGGGTAGGAGACAGCCAGACCTTGCAGAGGGCCTCTTGGCTCCTGTGAGACATCCTGTTATTCAGTTACCTGAATCCTACATCAAGATGTTGTTGAATTATCACAGCAAGTGGCTTAGCTTACTTTCAACTGGGACATAAAGTAGATTTCATCTACTTGGGAGCACAGGGACTGAAGTGGGACAGAGAAAGCACTGCACTGGAAATCTCCAGAAAACCCAAGCTTGGAGAGGATGAAGCTGAGTTTTTTGTTTGATAAATATTGTGTTAAACTGGGATTTTCAAAGGGGGCTAGGGAAAATCCTTACCTGCCTTCAGACATCTATATTCAATAGGCAAATATCCAAGTCATTTATAATACACGTAGTGCCCCATGCTCATTCCCTAATATACAGAGTGCTGTAGGGTGAAGACATAACAAAACACCATACAAGTGGAAACCAACCTTCATAAAGGTCCTTCCCTCACCGCAGCCTGGGGGTTGAGCCAACCGTCAGGGAGTGCACAGCAGCCCCCGACTCTTGAAGCAGAGCTGGCTGTCAGTGAGCACTGCCTTGCATGCTCTGCCTCTGCTCTCCCTCTGGCAAGGTGGGAAGAGTGGAGCACACTGGGATGATGAAACAAACTCTCCTCTCTCACAGTCTGTAGCATGTGCATAATAAACAGCACTTTATGCTGATTCTCTCCAGGTTATTTTTGGAGTTCTTCCTCTATACCTAGGCCTCTCTTTTCTGCTATTTGGTACTATGTAAACCAATACAACCTGTTCCATGGCTGGGTTGTCAGCAATTAAACCAGTGCCCCCACCTGAGCTAGCCTAGGTGAGGAGGGTGTGTAGAACCAGCAGAACTAAAAACAAAACTTACCAAAGGGCGCATGAGCTCCCTGTGAGCCAACAGCCATCTGTACCTGGAGAGATGAGCACTGCCAGGTCACTCTGCTTGAAGCATTATGAATGAGGCAAAGCAACTCTAGGAGGGTTGTTACAGCATCTAAGGTGCCCCAACGGTTGCAGTGGCTTTGGGACTGACTTGACTTGACTCCTCTACACCTGCAACACTTCAAAGGGTGTGCGTCTCCCTCTGTTTTCCGTTTGAAGGGCTTGAAAGGCATTTGAAGTATTTCAAATATTATTTCTGTCCGCACCCTTGGAAAGAAATGTTGCCACTATGTATATAAACATTTAGAATAAAAGCATGTTGCATTAGAGTGACTAACTAATCATGAGCTAAACTGGCCTGTAGTCAAATCAAGGGCCTAATTGTGCAAAGACTTAAACATGTAACTGTACTTCAACAGAACTTTTGCAGATATGCAAAAGTTGTTTCAGTACTGATCCAAGTTTGACTATTACCTATTAGGTAGACACTGATGGCTCAAACCATATTAGAATGTGATCTGGGTGCTTGATAACTTTCCCCTCTGATGGAGGGAGGGGAACAGTTGCAGGGTCACCAGGCCAGAAGCCACAGAGGCTTCTGCTTAGGGGCTGGGGGCAGGACTGGGCTATTCGGTCCTGCCACCTTCTTTTCCTGTGTCCTGCTGCTGCTGGTGTCTCATCATCTTTGACAGGCAGCCACGTGCAGATAATAATTAATTTTCTAAATTCTTTTGGGGGCCTGCAGGCCAGATAGAATGGCCTGGTGGGGCAGATCCAGCCTGTGGGCCATATTTTGCCCACCCCTGTCTTAGAACCTGTTCCTAATACAACCCTGTATAAACTGTGTTTAAATATGGTAGTTGAACATGACTAAGACCTATGCATGAGGTTCATGTGCATGGCAACATACATATCTTATTGTTAGGACACTTCTTAATACTAAAACTCTCTCTAAGTTGTGATGTGTGCGTAGACTTAGTTTTGTACCAATCAGCATATGTTTGCCTGAATGATGTTTCATTTTACTGTCTGCTATAATGCAGCACTTTCTGCTATTGCTGTTTAAAATTGTTACAATGTACAATTTTTAGGTTGTCAGTGTGGACATGCCAATTACAGATGATGCTGAGCTCCAGAAGTATTCAAAGGTATGGATTCTTATTTCACTTTTGCCTTGAGATACAATGTCAAAATAAATAGTTTGGCATGATCCAAAACCACAGCTGTGAATATTTGGGATACGACCAGTTTTGTGCTTCTGGCTCATCCCTCACGTGTGGCTTATGTTCTAGACACTGTTTGAACTTCTCAAATTACATTTTATTTTTGAGTTAAGGATGGGGGAGAGCCTGGGAAAACAGCAAACAATATGTCCCTGGTGTCCTTAAACTTTGGCCGTTCTGATAAGGTGGGAACAATGCAGTTATACAGAATTGAAGCCCATCAGTTCTGAATCTAAGGTTTTTGGCTTTAGTACCTTAGTTGATTGATTGGGGCAGAACTTGAAAAATAAGTCATGCATGATGAATGCACCAACCTTTTAGGGCTGTCAGCTGGATGAGTGGAGCTGGGACGATCCATGGACCAAATTGGACCATGCACACTAGGTCCTGTACTGCCTCCACCTGCCAGGCTCAGACCCTGGGGCCCTGTGCCACCTCCTTCCAGCTCTGCTTACCAGGATTGGGTCTGGGGCCACATACAGCCTCTGGCCAGCCTGTGCTGGCCTGTATACCTGATCTAGCCTGCCAGGATCCCAGCAGACCCATGGGAAGCCCTTGCAGGCCAAATGACACAATGCCAGGGGCTGGATCTGGCCTGTGGGCTGAGGGGTTGAGCACCCCTGTTTTAGCCGGTGCAAAAAAAGAGTATTTCTCGCACTGACTTCATAAAACTCATCAAGTGAAGTTTCAGTCCAGCAAAGGGATCTGCAAGTAGGGATTTTTCCTCTATAGCTGTGCAATTTTATTGGCTTCAGTATCAGACCCTAAGTGACATCAATCTTCTGCAGTTGCTGAAGTTTCACTGACAGTGCAGCCCAGTACATTGCACAGCTCTGATACATCCTGGAAGGGATACTGGTATGGCCCACTTGGCTGTGGAATGAAAAAGAGAAAGCATGGCCCATAGCCAATTATAGACAGGAGGAACAGAACAGTACCTGGCCCTATTGCTACCTGCATGCTCAGAAGCAGTTGGAGAACAAGTAATACTTGAATAATAAAATTCAGGAAAGCTTGGCAAAGTAAGGGAGTTGATACTGTTGCCTCTGTTGCCCCCTTTAATTGTTTCCTTATTTGCATTACTGCTGTCTTGTCTAGACTGAGTCTCCTGGCATGCTCTCCTTGCACTGAGAAGATTTTCCTAGTGGTAGCAGACAGACATTTGCAAGTTAGAGATTTACTACAGAGGAATAAGGCTGTCCCTTGGGAAACAGCCAGCACAAAATCAATGGACCTCCACTTGGAAATAAGGATGCAAGTGGTAGAAACTGATGTCAAAATACAGATAGGATGTATTCCCTGTCCCAAAAAGCATTATAAATGTCCTCAAGGGATGAGGCCGCTCATTGCATGATTAGGTTTTATTGGAATCCTGTAAAATAATGATTAGGACATAATCTTCACCTTTTGCTCATATACCTTTAATAAAGAACAGCTCTGGTTTGATCATGATAGACTGTATTATTTTTTAATACCTTACCTTTTTTTCTCCCAGTGCAATGATGCAATTGAAAAGAATAGTATGATGCACATTTCTTTCTCCCAAAGGATAGACTATTGCTTTTTCACTACACAGTAAAACTGAATAGAATATTTGTTGGATATAACACTAGGGATGTCAGTGTCAACATGTAGTAATTTTAATATACATTTGACTTCATTTGAATTGATTAGCCATTGAACATTAAATGCATTTATGGTGAAATATAAAACTAAAAATTTTATTTGTAACTTATTCACTGATTATATTTTTGGCAGCTATTGCCTATCCACACTTTAAGATTGGGAGTTGAACTTGATACATTCGATGGACATCATTACATATCATCAATTGCTTCTGATGGTCCAATTGCTATGCTTGGCCTCCTCCAGCTGGAAGATGAACTTCTAGAGGTAAAATGCGAAGAAATGGTCTATATGTTTAGTGGGTTTAATATGATTGTACTACTTTTTATTTTGGCTGATACCATTGCAAATGTGTAACATTAAATCATAGGTGGAGGAAACAGTCCTCTCCCCATCTGTTCTGCCTTACAAGGGTTGTATAAGACTTGTACAGTTGTTTGGGAAATGCTTGATACCAAGGTGATAAAGCAGAGGGAACCTCTGATGATCATATTTTATCTGCATTCCCCAAATTAAGAATCTTTTAAACATTCTGGATTTAACTCTTGCATTTCTGTGGCAAACAGTGTTTTTAGTTCTTTTTGTTCACTTTAGAAAACCCATAACAGCTGGTAACCTTATAGCTGTGGTTTTTGTTGGCCCTTTTCACTTTCTGAGGCTTGGTTGCTGTATATTCAAAGAAAGCTTGTTCACATGACCAAGCACAGTGTGTCAATAGAGTATATGCAATGTAGATAGTTGGGCTGCTTTGGTGTGATCAGACTTGGGAGGCCAAACATTTTGTTTAAAGTCTGTCTATCCAGAAGAAAAGATTGTAACTAAGTTTCTTCTTTTGGATTCCTGCTCTTTCTTTGTCAAAAACTTTTCGAATCTGAATCCGTTCTAGTGGAACTTAAAGATCAAGGTCTTATTGACTTCAATAAAAGCAGGATCAGGCCCTTTGCTAGATTAGCTCATTTTTGGCCCAGGGCTCAGATGGCCTGGGTTATGCTTTTCTGTTAAGACTTTTGGCACCAAAAATTCATACTTGTGTTGCTAAGAGCTACTGCATTTTCTTTTATTAGTGCTTAGGAGAGAAATTCTGGACTCCTAGATGAAAGAGTTAATAAAATGTTGAAAGTGTTACAATATTTCATAGATTTCTAGGGTCAGAAGGGACCTATTAGATCATCTATTCCAACCCCCTGCTCTAGGCAGGAAAGACCTCTTGCTCTGGGCGGGAAAGAGCACTGCGGTCAAGTAACCCCAGCCAGGTGCTTTTCTAATCTCCTTTTGAACACCTTCAAGGTAGGGGAAAGCACCACCTACCTTGGAAGTCCATTCCATATTTTGGCAACCCTCACCGTAAAGAATTTCTTCCTGATGTCCAATTTAAATCTATTCTTCTCGAGTTTATGTCCATTATTTTTAGTAACCCCAAGGGGCACACCCTGGTAAATCTTATTTCTTAAACAAAAGGTCAAATACTAGAAGCAATAAACCAAACTATGAGCTAATTGTTCACAAAATTTTGTTGTATAAGTTTGAACAGTTTTGTTTATATGAGTCCAGAAGTATGTCCAAAGCTAGTGAACTTCAACTTTTTTCCCTTCTGTATCTTAAAAAAGTGAAACAAAAATGTGCTGCAGGGCTAAAACTGTATATGTCAAGTTTCAGCCCAGAGCACATCTTTATAGCCAAGTTATAAATCCACTTTAAATAGGGGTCTGTAATGAAAAATGTGACAGTCCCTGAACTAAAGCAAACAGTGCTACCTAGGCGCTGATATAACAATTGGAGATGGTTTAGATTTAAAAAGTAATGAGAAAGCAACATTTTTAAATGTATAATGAGATTAAATAAAAATTTAAAATGACTTGTTTGACGAATGATAATAGAAATGATAGAACCTTTTTAGTTTCTAATTTTAACTGATTTAACTTGTAGTGGGGCCTAATGCTTCCTTGCCTCTCACCTGATCCGTTTTGTTCTAAAGCCTCCACTGTGTTCATTCAGTGGAATAGCTAACATGGTCCAATCAATGGATGGGGCATCTGGCCCCCTTCCTGCTTTGAGATTGATCTCCAGCAGTTATAAAAGAAGAGAGAGGGAGTCCCCAAGTCTGCTTATGAACATACAGTAGTCCTTCTCCATCAATCAAAGACTGCTGAGAAATGGTAGTAACTTCCCACCACACTAGCACTTCAAATGCAATTTAAAAAAAACCCCTGTGCAAATATTTCTGTTTAAATTATTAACTAATGGTTGGTCTGATTGTTCAGCAGGCATTACATTTCTGGATTACAGTTTGTAGTCTGTGCTGAAAACAGATGGAGTTTGCAGTCTACGGTTTTAGAGGAAATGACTGCACCTCTCTAGATTTTTCTCCTGAGCTGCTTTGCAACGAGAGGGGTGCTGGGTAGTTCCTCAGCAACATGTGCTATTTTTAAACTGCAAAATCATGGATACAGGGAGGAAGATTGGAGATTATGGGGAAAGTGATGCATGTGTGACAAGGAGGATGTTGATCCTATCTATCCAAGCCAGCTTGAACTTTGTACATAGGGATGGAGATCTAGGAAATGACATGGAGCAGAACCTGACTTCTATGCTTTTAAGTGGAATGACTCAACATCTTCCAGTTTTTGTGTTTTTTGTGAAATGTTTCAGAAATTGAGTTGTTTTTCTTATGGAAGCATCTGATTCTCTCCTTAGAAAATTTTCAGGTTTTCAGCCAGCTCTACTTTTGTTTTAGTCTGTAATGAAAATTGGAGGGCTCTTTGGCCTGGGACCCACACCTCACATGGTGCCCAATTTGCACAAAGTGCTGGCCAAACCTGGCATGTGGGCTGGCCATGTTCAATCCAGCCTCACACCACTCATCTGGCCCATGGGACCAAATTAGTTTAATAAAGTTTAAACAAAGTTTAACACCCATGACGCATGTGATCAAAACCATCACTGAAACGAACATTAATTGGTACCCTTGGTAGTAGACTTGCCAGAAGGACCCTGGATTGAATGAGATATGGAAAACAAATAACTTTCTCAACAGAACGTAGTTCTGACATACGGGTGGGGCAGTGTGTGGAAACTGCAGTTACCTATGGCATTCCTGTTTTGTGGAGGAACAGAGAGCTTCAGTCATGTGAGTTGTCAAACCAGTGGTGTGTATGGACCCTGAAAAGCACGTTAAGTAAAACATTCTGACACTAGAATTAATTTCTAAAAGCACTTTCAACTGCAGTCAAGTATTATAATAATCAGTTTTCTTGTCTGTACTTTAGAAAAATCTGGCAATCAGTTAGGTAGAAAGAGTGAATAAAAAATGGCTATTCCAGTTCAGTAGGTGAGATCAAAATACCTAGTACAGGAGGGATTGGGACTAAAACCAGAGAAAATGGTAGTGAACAGGAAATGAGGGAGATGAAACTAAACAGAACAAAAGGCATGTATTTCCATTATGTAGTAATAAAGTCACCAGAATCAAGGGATAGAATTACGGTCTTACAGTAATTTATGTATAGCTTAGAGGGGTACATTAACAAAACCACTCAAGCTTCACTGGAATCCCTAGATGAAATTAGACCTTTATGTATAGTTGAGGAGGACAATTATACCTCCTATTGTAATGGTTCGAAGTAAACAAGAGAATAACTTTTATTGCGGAACCGGATCAATATCCTTTTTAAAGATCTGAATGGTGATGTGTGCGTTCTCTTTTCTGCCTAGGTAAATGGAGTCCAGCTTTATGGAAAATCCCGCCGTGAGGCAGTTTCTTTTCTTAAAGAAGTACCTCCTCCATTCACTCTGGTTTGTTGTCGGCGCCTTTTTGATGATGGCAACGAGTCTTTTGTGGATGAGCTCAGCACCATTGAGGTTTCATCTCCAGAACCAAAGGTTGTGATAATGTACTGTATAGCTTAGTTGCAGAGAAACGCATTCGTTTTCTAAAGACAATGTTTTGGTTTTCCTTTTATTTACCTTAAAGCAAAAATTTATTGAAATACATTGACTTGATTATGTAAACCAGCTCTTCTCATCTACCTTTAAATCACTGTGTACTTTTCATCACTGGTTCATTTGGAAACATCAAACAAATTCAAAGGCCTGAGAAATAGGGTTGCGCAAAGCTTCGGTCGCTGATTCGATACGGAGGATATTTGGTAGCCAGATCTCCGAATCTGAATCAAATCATTAATCTCTGCGAATCAAATTGGAAGCCTCCGACTTGATTTGGAGAGATTCGACGATTCAGACATAGACACAGCTTTATATGTTTTTTTTCTACATACCTCAAAGTACCAGGCGGCTTGTTAATGCTGAGATGGTGGGGCGGATGTAGCATCCCACGGGAGCATCGAGGGGTCCCCAGCGCACTTAGCAGCGGACCCGGAAATGGACCACAAGCACTTGTGGTTCACTTCTGTGTCCACCATGAAGCACATGGGAGCCCCCCTCCCGCCCACCAGCTTGGTGACTGGTGCCTCCTGGGTCTGGGGGGACAGCCAGGGTCCCCCCTGTGGGTGATTGCCAAGCTGGGGGAGACACGGGGGATGTCCCCCACGTGTTCCGCAGTGGACCCAGAAGTGCACCGGAAGTACTTTTGGGTCCGCCACCGAGCATGTGGGGGACCCCCCTGCACTCCTGTGGGGTGCTCCATCCACCCGAGCATTGCAGCATTCACGAGCCGCACCTGGTACCTCGAGGTATGTAGAAAAAAACATTTAAAGCTCTTTAAATGTTTGTTTAAACATTTTGTTTAAAATGTTTGTTTAAACATCTAAAGCTGTTTGTATTAGTTATTGATTGCTCGATCCATTCTTCAGAATCGCTGATTCTCCGAACCAGAATCGAATCTTCAGATTTGGATTCAGCTGAATCGAATCGGGACAGTGATCCGAATCGAATCGCTGTCCTCCAAATTGTGCCGAATACTAATTGAATACGGCTTGCTTCGCACACTCCTGAGAAACCAGCTCAGTCCCAGAGAAATTTACTCTTTCCTTGTATGGTGTCATTGCCTGTAAGTTGCAGCAGGAGCTCATCTTGCTCTTGTCAGTGTGGTTGGTGCCATACAAAACACTGAAAATAACACCTAGTTCCCATCCTGTGATGTTTACAGTCTTATTAATACAGGCAATATAGCTGACACAATATACCAGATAATAGGATGTAGCACAGATAGACTGGTTTGCTACAAAGTGTTGATTTTCTCAGATTGCTTTGTCATGTTCAGTGTTGTCCAGTTGGTCCAGCCTTCTTTTTAAAGTAAAGCACAAGATCATGTGGGAAAGACAGAACATTGTGCCACTCGGAGCTGGATAAAAAATACCGTCTAGCTTAGGGTAATAGAAGACCCAGTTTCATTGCCTGAATGACTGTGACTTGGTCTTAATTGGCATAATAGTCCCAGTAGACTGAGTCCTTGAATGGGTTGAAACGGAACATGTTGAGGAGCAAAAATGAAGCAGTACATTTGCATGTCAAAAATAGCATTTGTACAGTAACAAAATTGATTGATTTAGTGACATTTTCTCTCTGATGCTAACACACATGTTGTCACTTATGCTTGGTCTAGATTTGAGTGTGTTGCTCTGACCTATTTCCTATTTCAGAGCTGTGACAGCATTTAGTTTTTATGTTATTTCATGTTTACAACTTGACTACTTTTACTGTGGTTTACTGAGGTAGGTTACTAGACTCTTCATTGTGCTATACATGCGATGTATGTAAATCACAAGCTAGCTTGCTGACTGTGTCACATTTGTCATTTCTAAGCATAATAGGTGAGCAAGATCTTTGAATTATACTAAATCTTAGCCTTGCCCTCATTAGTTGATTACTTCCATCTTGTGGATCAAGGTTATGTAAAACTAGGGAAATAGGAGGATTAGCATTTATTTCTATTGCGAAAGGCTTAAAATTCCAAATTTAAAACTTGACTCTTGTAACCATTATACAATGGTTCTCCTCATTATATAATGCTTGCTCTTTTTTCTCTCTTTTCTGATCTAACTTTTTATTGACAGCCTTCCTGAGAGGATGTTTCAAACTAAAATATGGATGTTGTTTTCAACATAAACACAAAGTGTTTCCATTCACCTTTTATGAAGGGTCCCTGCTATTCTCACCACCAGCATTTTACACCATTGTGTTTGCCATTGCATTTTTCCAAACGTTTTTCACCAAATTATATCAGTTGCATACATCTGTCGATACTGTCCGAGTGAAAAGTTTCCCTTTCCCTAAGAGCTACTTCCATATTATTTCTGTTGCCTACCACAAAGATCAAACAGCAGTATCTGGAATTAAAACTTAGTTCTTTCTTTGGCCTAGTAGTGAGGTTCTTTGCTACCTGAATGCTTGAAAGAACAGCTTTAATTATATGCAGTGGTGTAAAGCCACTCAAATTTGCCAATGGCAATTTTCATTTAGATTTTTGAAATATCATTATTCTTGCCAGTAGATCTCTCTTCTTACTTCTTTTTAAAAAAAATGCCATTTTCCCCTTCACAATAGTACATAAATAGAACAAGAGGAGTAAAATTGTAATCTATTTTGGGTTAGGTAACAAGCGATAACTCTTCAACACTCTTTTTGGAAAAATATGTATGGGAAGCCAGTGTATCAGAGAGGTTTTGTACTTCGCTGTCTTCTGGAGTTTTAATATTAAAGCAAAAATATACTATTTGTTTGCATAGCTGTGCAAGCTTAATTGCATGCTGAGATTTTCTGTCTATTTATGTATAATAACACCAGCACATATTATGATTATAATGAAAAATTTCACAACCTTCCTTCTGTCTTTTCATGGGCTTTCCTCTGTGATGTTAAAAAATCTTGTTTTGAGAAATCTTTTTTTTCCTTTTAATGCATCTAATGAGATGGCTGAAGTCTATTGAAGTATGGCAGGTTGGTGACATTATTTCAGTTTGAATGTTATATTATAATGTTTTTCAGTATTTGTGTGTAGTGTTAAGTCCTAACCTTGTAAACACGTATGCATGTGCTTAGTTTTGTTATTGTGAGAATCCTTAATGGGACTAGCAAAGTTAAGCGTATACATAAATGTGGTGTTTGCAAAATGGAAATCTTAACTCTGAAGAAAGTGTTAATAACATGAAAAATCACATGATAGACAGTGGTTCTATTTAGGATAAGTAAATCATTAATAGAAGCAGAAGTGTTGAATGAACAAGTTTTAATTAAGAACTGAAAACAGCTTTTGAATTGGGTATTTTATTTTGCAGACGATACGTGAAGTAAACCTTAATCCTGAGGAGGAGGAAGATGGAGAATTAGCATTATGGTCTCCTGATGTGAAAGTCATTGAGCTGGAGAAACACAGTAAAGGCTTAGGATTCAGCATTTTAGATTATCAGGTATACTTTTCTATATTAACAAGTATTGAAAATACCTCGGACCCTATTTTCTCTCTTAATGTTCCTCAGAATTTCCTGAAAATATTTTGAATATAACATTTTGGCAATCTCTTTAACACGTGGACTCAAAATTTTGGAGGAAAAGTAGTTTATTTTGAGGCTGACTCAAGTTATAGTATAGACTTTATTTTCATTCTTACTGATAACTGGGTGGAGTAAAGTGTAAAATCTTTAATCAGGCTCCTAATTCTGAGTTTAAAGGCTGGGTGTTTTCTTGGTTACTAGGAATTACTTTTCAAGTAACTGAACTATGTGGCAATGTTTTCTCATTAATTAAACCTTTTTTGTATTAGTTATTGATTGCTTGATGCATTCTCCAGCCTCTTCCCCCCTGCCCCAGTTTAGTTAAAAATAAATTTGTTATAGATTTGCTGTCACTGGTTCTTTAGTGCCCGATCCTGAGCCCATTGCAGTTAATGGAAGGACACTTGTTGCCTTCAAGAGGCTCTGGTTAGACCCTTAAAATGTAACTCAATTTTCCAAAATATGGATTATCATCTAATTTCAACAGCTATCAATCCTCCAGTGAAGGCAGATGGATTTGGTGTGATATCCAATTTACCTGTTAAAAATAAAAATTGGGGATTTATTTGTCGTATAAACGCATAACTGTTAAATTGCTTAAGGTCTAAAGAAGGTAAGTACTTTGCTACTTGAAGCTTTTAGGCCAGTGTACCAGAGACTGAGCAAGAATTTCCAATTATTTTCTTTAATACTGAGAAGGAGATGACTCTCGAGACACCAATAATAGCTTGAAGCAAGATTACGCTCAAAAATAGCCTCCTTTTTATGTAAAAATGTTGTGGGAGAGATTACATAGGCTTGATTCTTAAACTCCGTAGAAATGAAGGACCAAATTCTTTGGTGCAATTGGGCGAAATTCCGAGGGCACAGGTTTGCTAACTTCCTTTACATCAGCAAAGGTCTTGAACTTAAATAGATGTGTAGAAATATCAGAATTTGAGGTCAGGATGGAATGTTTTTAATGTTTTCAGTCAAGATGATACGTTTTAAACCTTTAGGCATCATAGTTGCAAAGAATTAAGATTTCTGGATCGCTCTTTGTAATAACATACACAGCTGAACACTGCCTAAACGTTGTGCTTTAATAAAACAAAATGTATTCTCTCATTGTATGTACATGTCAAGTGATATAAAATCAATTATATTTTTATATAATAAGACATGAATCGGGAACAGATTAAAATAAAATACTTGAAGTATTATGCAAAACCATTAATTCCATATTTTACTAGCGTGATTTAAAATGACTGAAAATAGATCCGGTTAGTCATTTTTGCTGACATGTGTTGTGTTGCAGTGCCAGTAGTAGAGTTGCTAGGACTCTCTACAGAGCTGTAATACAGAGATTTGCTTTTTAATTTCTCATAATCAGAATTAATGAAGGCTTTAATAACAGACTTTTTATTTACTTATTCACAAATGCAAATACATTAGTGATGTTGTGATACAGCTACATTTAAATACTTTCAAATCAATTTTCAGTCAATGGCAAACTGCTTAATCTCATATCTTTATAATTTCAAGATATTCGTGTACAAAGCATGTGATTTTTTTTTTTTTGTCTATAGGCTTTGTTTTCTTCATCTGTGCTGCTGTTTCTATTGCATGTGGATTGATTATGTATATAAATCTATAACTGAATGCACAGACCCATCATTTTCATCTGCATCATAAGGGGGAAAAAGTCTACCCTAGTGCAAAGAAGTACATTAGCTGTTGGAAAACTATCTAAAACTCTTACAGGAGAGGTTTTCAAAAGCACAGATGACAGATCAGTGCTCTACTCAAAAAGAAAGTCTAACTGAAGGGATCTGAGTGCCTAACTGCCATGTTTGCCTTTGAAAATTTACCTCTTGAAACTTAATACTGCTCTAAAAATGTAAGTGCTTAGCCACATGTTCTTAGCTTACTGGAAAGGAGTCAAGCTTAACAGTGGCAAATATATTGCTTACAACACATGAATGCTATTTATAAGCAAAATATATAAATAGTGTCCATTGTGACATTTAGATGACCAGTAACTTAACTTTAAAATCTGGCATAGTATGAGATGATTAACGAGTTCTAATATCGCTTCCTGTGGATGAAATAAATGATAAATCCAGATAAATAAATCTAATTTCTCCCAGGTAGAGGGAGGATTGTATGGGGACAAAACTGTTTGTGACATCTTGCATTTCAAGTTTCCATAAGCTGTAAACTTATAAGAGGTGAGTATTTTGGGGCATTGGTTTATGACACTGGTCAGTATCAGATACTTTAGGGGAAGGTCCACGAATTTGCAGTTCTAGAAGAACCTGTTCATATAGTGGAGGGAAATGTTATCCTTCTCTGATTGGTTGCTGTGTATAGTCAGGGGCACGAGAGTTTTCCTCCTTTGTAATTGTTATAATCCAATCTGATATAACAAAGGACTGAACATTTGCAGGGATAATGAGAACACCTTTCTTAAAACTGGATTACCCTCCTGGCCTCTCAGATAATTTGTGCCTCAGTGTAAGGTTTCTAACACTTCATATTTATTACAAGTCTAGTCGTTTCTGAAAAAGCAGGACTAATACAAACTCTTAGTAAACTAGGAATTTGAGTACTTAGAGATTTGAGACCTGAGATCATGAAATTATTACTCTGGAATATTAATTTTTAATGAAATATGTTTCTCTTAATGTTTTATCTATAAAATAAAACAGCATATCCCAAATGACTGAAAGGATATTCCCAGAAATGTATAAACATAACTTCAACTAATACATATTGAACACTTAGTATAATTAATTTGTAATTAGTTTAACGCAGAGTAACTAAGAATATAGCTATCCTGTCCCCATATTTGCTTCCCACCCACTTCTTCTGACATCTTAAGCAATTTATGTACTTTAAAATAGTGGACTTCTCTGTTTACATGGTAGAAAATGTTACTAAATCTGTTATCACAGGACGCGTGTGACATAGCCTTTTGTCATTTGCCTGTAACAGGGGTAGGCAACATTTTTTGGCTGGAGTGCTGAAAAACCCACAGTGCCTACTTTGGGAGGTGCCACAGTGCCAGCATGCCAGAAAAACAAAATGAAGGCAGGGGGTACATGGCAGGATGCCCTGCACCCCACCCAAAGCCCCTGCTGCCCCTTGCCCCCCAGCCCAGGCTCTGTGGCTATTGACAGCTACCCAGAACTTGGACCAGCTGCAGCCAGGAGGCTGCAAACAGCTGCTGCCTCCCCACCCCAGCCCTGGCCCTAGCTGCCTCCCAGACCTGGCCTCCAGGGAAGCAGCAGATACCTCGGGCTCCAGGGAGGCAGCAGATACCGGCGATGCTCCCTGTTGTGCTGCCCTCACACACACTGCACTCCCGGCCCTGCTGCCCTCCCCTGGGCCCTCCCGAGCACAGCATGTGCAACCCAGAGTGGCAGCGCACAGAGGGACCGCACAGGGAAGCTGCCTGCTGCTGCAAGCTCCACGCTGCCTGGGTCTCACTTCCCCTGTATGCATGGGAGCACCGTGAGCAGTACACAGGGTTAAGCCCCCTCGCTGCTGCCCCCACCTGCAGGGTAAGTGTGGCCAGGGCAGTGGGGAGCTTGGAGTGACAGGCAGCTTTCTGTGCCCTGCCGCGCTAGGTTTCACACGTTGCTCTGCAGAAGCGGCGGCAAGAGCAGCACAGTGGGAAGCATTGCTGCTATCTGCTGTCGTCCAGGCTGGATCTGGGGCTGGGGTCAGGGCTGGGAGGCAGCAGGTGTTTGTAGTCTCCCGGCTGTAGCCGGCTCAGGTTCTGGGTAGCTGATGATAGCCATGTAGCCCGGGCTGCTTGCAGCAGGCCTTCCATCCTCCCAGCCAGCTGCTGGGAGCAGCCCAGACTCCATGGCTATCAGCAGCTACCATGAACCTGGGTCGGCTGCAACTGGGAGGCTGCAAACAACTGCTGCCTCCCCGCCCCGGCCCTGGCTGTCTCTTGGCCCTGGGCTCCGGGAAGACAGCAGGTGCCGACACTGCGCCCATTGGGGCCGGGGCTCTTACTGGGCCGGGGCTGGCGCTGTTCCAGGCCTGGGGTCCAGCGGTGGCAAGGGTCAGCAGCAGCACAAGGCTGTTCCTGGGCAGCCATGTGCTGCTCAATCTGGGCATGCCTCTTTCTGCCCCTTGGGGCGGGAAGCAGCCCATGTGCCAATAAAAACCATGCCGCGTGCCATGTTGGGCACGTGTGCCATAGGTTGCCGACTCCTGGCCTATAACTTTAGTTTTGAATTTCAGCTTTGCGTCTGCTTTGAACTTCAGAGCTTTGCTATTTCCATTCACCAGATGTATTAAGCTTGAATATTGCACTAGAAAGCCCCAATCTTAATGTTGTAGATAAAGTGCACAAATGCTTCATACATGGTGCAGAAACAAGTGATCCCCTGATGGCGTCCCTCAAATAATGCAGTGTTTCACTAGGTTTCCCTACCAAGGGGCCTCTTTATTGAAAATAACAAAAACTCAAGACCAGAATGGTTAAAATGTTTTTCTTCGTTCTTTTACTTTTACAAGTTCATCACACTATGGTGAGATCTTGTCAGATATCTTATGTTCAATCTGGTTATTCTGGGTGACTCTTTGGATAGAACACGTCTAAGTGGAAAATCCACCAACAAGAGGAAGTGATAGAGATCCTGCAGGCAGCAAGTCTGCTCTCTTCAAAGTTGGTAGGCAGGTTAACAGCTGTGATTGTTACTGCTGGTTGACTCAGGTCTGTAATTTGTAGGTTAGACAAACATTTGTCTGCTGTGGGTTAGGCAAGGATTATTCTTCTATAAGCAAGGGTCTAAATGACCTCTTAAAGTTCCTTCCAACCCTATTATCTATTTTATAGATTTTTTTTCAGTTCTTTGATGGTGAATTAGTAGTGGAACATTCAGGTTTATTGGATTCCTGTAGACTTCATCTTGCAA